TACGAGCTACCGCGCGGTTTCACTGTGGCAGTGGAGGGGATCTACTTCGGGGCGGCGGCCTTTCCCTGCTCGGGCAGCGTGGCACCGTCGCTCTTCGTCGTGCTCTGCGGGGCGCTGCAGGGGTGCCCCCCCAGCGGGGATGTTTTTTATCTTCGGGAGCAGCCCCATCTTCCTCGACGTGTGGGCGACTGTGGACGCCCAAGGCGAGGGAACCACCCGTTGCTGCGCGGACGACGTCGGCGCGGTGGCTCGTACGTGGCGGGCCGGCAAGGAGTTGGTGAGGGCTTCCGGCTGGACGGAGCGCTTTGCGCAGCTCGCCCTGAAGGCTGCGAAGTGCACTGCATAGCGGACAGTTGCCCCATGGAGCCGGCCACTGGAAGCGGCGCGGTCCCAGCTCGCCCGGCTCTCTCCCGAGTGGGACCGGTTCAAGATCCAAGACATGATCACCTGCTTGGGATTGATGCTGGGGCACGGGGCAAAGGACGGGGACAACATCGCCAAGGAGGTGGCCAATTGGAGGGCCCGAGCGAAGACGATCAGTCGCAGCAGAGCTTCGACTGCAATCAGAGCGTACAAGTACAATACCCGGGCCGTCAGCGTCCTGAGCTACAAGAACCAGCTCGTGCCCGTTCCGTGGAGCCTAGGGAGGGTGGAGCTGGGGCTCTTCAGCTCGATCGCCAAGGTGCCCCCGCCAAGGTGCCCCCTACCGCGAGCCGCCGGATGGACTGGCACCACATGGGCGAGTGGGGCTGCCCGCAGCCGGTCTTCGTCTTCCCCCGCGGGGCCGCGGCGAGGATGAGGGCAGCCGCAGTGATCGTCGATTGGCCTCCTGCGCGAGAACGGCTCGAGCGGGCGTCGCTATCCCATCCACTCCCCGCAGTGACGGATGGCGGCTGCTCCCCCCTCCTCTGGAAGAGCACTCCGCTCGCGTGCCTCATGGCAGAGGCGGCGCGCGGGCTCCCGCAGCTTCGCGGCCTCCAGAGTGCGGGCCCTCCTCCTCCTCCTCCTCCTCCTCCTCCTCCTCCTCCTCCTCCTCCTCCTCCTCCCCCTCCTCCACCTCCTCCTCCTCCTCCCCCTCCTCCTCCTCCTCCTCCTCCGACGCGGATGCAGAAGGTGCAGACGAACGGAGCGCGCGGGCAGCCCGGCTCCAGACCCGTCTCACGACCGCGCTCGGGAGGGCCATCTGCCCGGACGACCTCGCCGGCCTCGTGCCTGCCCCTGACGTGAACTGGGGCGTGGTGCGACGCCGCACGTCTCGTCTGCCCCCGGCCTGGAGACAAGTTCTCGCGAAGACTTGGCTGATGGCCTGGCCCACTGGGCACCGGATGCAGGGCCGCGGAGCCGGCTGGCTCTTCCCCTGCCGGTGCCGCTGCCTGCCGCTCGAGTCGGGAGCCCGGGGACGGGGGTCAATGCAAACGGGGGTCAGCCAGAGCGCCCGGTCTTGCAGGATCCTGCAGGGCCAGGGTCGCATTGACCCGGGCTTGGGTGCAGGATCCTGCAGGATTTTGCAGGATCCTTCGCATTGACCCGGGCTTGGGTGCAGGATCTCGCAGGATATTGCAGGATTCTGCAAGGCCTGGCGGCCTGACTGACCCCGGGTCTGGATTGACCCGGGTCCGCAGATCCCCGATCGAGCGGGACATTGAGGACGACAATTTGGTCCATTTGTTGCGCTGCCCACGCGCTGACTGGGCAGTCAGCCGGGCGCTCCGGCTCCGAGCGGATCTCGGTGGCGCGCCCCTCGCTCGCCTCGCACTGGGCCCACACGAGAGAGACATGTGGCGGCAGGCGCGCCTCCTGGCGGTCCGCTACCATCTGTGGCGCCTGCTCGAGCACGCCGGAGACTCCGACAGCCCGGCGGTGGCTCAGGAGCTTAGGGCTGCTGCTGCCCCGGCGGCTGGCCTGGGCGCTACGTCGGCGCTGGTGGCGCCTCGGCAGACAGCGCGCGGGCGCGGAAGCGCTCGGCGGCGCGCGGCGGGGGGTGGGCCCGGGCGCGGAGGTTAGGAAGAGAGTTTGCGGAGGCGCAGGCTCGCGGAGGAGGAGGAGGAGGAAAAGGAGAAGGAGGAGGAGGAGGAGGAGGAGGAGAAGAAGAAGAAGAAGAAGTGTGCGTTGGCGTGTGGGAGTGTGGGTGCGTGGGTAGGTGTGTGGGTGTCAGGGGATATGGAGGTGTGGAGGTTTGGGTGGGTTTGGGCAACGCCACCTTTGCCTCCCTCTCGAATGTCTCGAAGCACACGGTCCACTGGTGTGCGCCTCGTGTTGCTCCCTCCACTTGTCCTGCTGCTTGTTTAGCTTGCCCTTTCGCCTGGGCCCCGACAGTTGGATTCGAGCGAGGTCGCCACACATTTGGCACGATGGTGCTGCACATCGCCAGAAGCGCTAGAAACAGGGGGGTGGGTGAGTAAGTGCGTGGGTCCGTACATGCGTGCATGAATGAGCGCGTGCGTTCACGTGCGTGTGCGCGTTTGTCGCTTGTTTGCTTCAGGGTAGTCTCAGCCTACGCGCTGTGGATATTGTGCCGCTTTTCGCGATAGGGGCATCCAAGAATGCCCTGGTCTCTGGGGCCCGTGCGGCCCGGTCTTGTCCCTTCGGTCTCAGTCGTTGGATCGCTCCGCATGTCTTGGCTAGAATTCCGTGCCGATCATGTTGGATTCCATTGGGCCGCCGACGCGAAAAGGTATGTGTGCGTGCGTCTGTGTCCGAATGTGTTGGAGGCCGTAGCCTTGGCTGAAGCCACAAGCCACTGGCTCCAGCCATCTCTGGGGCCACGGCCTGCGCTGCGCCGCGCTTTTCGGGAGACGCTCTGAAGACCGCAAACTGGAGCACGCGATAGCCATTGTAAAAAACAGTGACGTTCATTGGTTTGGGCGTCTTGGGCCAGCCCCGTGGGGCCTCCCAGACGGCCCGAACGGTCCACAAGAAAGCCCCAGGACGGCCCCATGGGACCATCACCGGGAGCGCTGGAAGTGTGCACTCCGAGCCATGCCCCCGAGGCCTTGCAACGTCAACGCGCCACGCCCCGAGAACGCCCGAGAGCGCCCAGACCTCGAAGGCCTGGGCCCGAGAGGAGCCGTTACAAGGCTCACCACGGAGAACTCGACGGGGCCTGAGGACGCTCCACTTCGTGCCTCGGGGCACGGTGGCGGGTATTCTCATGCAAACGTTGGTGGGTGGTCGTGGCAGCTGGCAGCAGCAAGGCAAAGGCGGCTGCGTTGGTGGAATGCGGTCGCAGCCCGGTTGGAGAATGCGAAAGAGTTTCAGAGCCCAGAACAGAGATGCCTATCGAAGGCGCACACGGCGAACCACTGCCGCTCCCTGCTTTTTGGGAAATGCCCATGTGGCCAAACGTTGGGGCAAAGCTTGTCCAAGGTATTGGACTATGTGTTCCCCCAGCCGTTGTTGAGAACCTCGAGAGAACACTTGGGAGGGAGAGGAGGATGAGGGAGGGCGAGGGGGAGGGGGGGGGGGGAGAAGCAGGAGGAGGAGGAGAAGGAGGAGGACGAGGAGGAAGAAGAAGACGGGGCCTCTTGAGGCCCTCCTGGGGGGCATGTGATGGGCCTCTTGGGGGCCTCTTGGGGGGTCCAGGAGCCTCTCGGGGGACGTCTTGGCCTGCGGAGGCCATCTTGGGAGCCTAACTGGGCCGTCTCGGGGCCACCTTGGGGCACCCAGGGCCGTCTTGGGGGTCCTCTTGGGGCTGCCTTGGGGGGCTTCTCAAGTCACCTTGGGGCCCTCTTGGAGGCTTCTGGAGCCGTTTGGCTTCCAGAAGCCCTAAAAGTCGGGAGCGCTATAATCAGTCAAAAACCTAGGGGGCATCAGTGAGTTTGACCTCTTCGGGCCTTCGTGCGGGGCATGTTGGAGGGCTCTTAGACCGTTGTCGGGCCTCTTCGGCAGGCCTGGAGCCATATCGGGCCATCTTGGGGCCGAACTTGGAGTTCTCTTCGACCGTCGTGGAGACCATCTGGGCATCGTGAAGCCATCTTGGGCCCACGGAGTGCGCAGCCGAAACCAGTTCGGGAGGGGCCCAAAGCGTCAGTAAAAATTTGGCACGCCGTGCAACCCCCCATTCTTGCAAACCAAGGGCTCCCTCGAGGGCGCGAAGTTATTCGCGCTTCGCGCTTCGCGGTCCTCGTTCCTTCTCCCCCTCCTCCTCGTCCTCCTTTTCTCCCTTTGGGGTGGCGGCGCGAGAGCGCGAAGTTATTCGCGCTTCGCGCTTCGCGGAGCGCGAAGCGCGAAGTTGGGAGCCCTTGCAAACGGCAGCGGGCGGTGGATCTGGTGGTCTGGATGCAGGATGTAAAAGGTTTCGTGTGGGGCATCCCAGATGCCTCTTGAAGGTGGCTGGGGGCCTCCTGGGGGGGCGCCTCTGGAGACCTCTTGGGAGCCACTGGAGGGAGCTTGGGGCTATGTTGTGGCGGAGGGTTCGAAGTGACGTCAGTTCGTGTTTCCCGTCTTGGAGCCGCCTTGGGCCCCTCTTGGGGCCTCTTGGGCCATCTCGGGGTGAACTTGGGGGCCGCATGGGCCATCTTGGGCGATCTCAAGGCGAAGACGAGATAGCCCGAAAATCTTACGAAGCAATAAGGGGTCGGGACGATGCTGGCCTCTTGGGCCGTCGCACAGGGCCTCCGAGACGGCCCAAGAGGCGCCCGAGAGAGCTCCACGACGGTCCTGGGTACCAGTTAGGCAGTGTTGGAAACACATGCCCCGAAATACGCGAGATGGAAAAGTCACGGGGAAACGCACAAAGGCACGCGGCAAAAACCAAGAGGCACGCGCCACCTCCCCAGAGCGTTGAGAAGATTCTATCGCATTCGGGATCGGAGACCCTCTGGAGACCCTGGGGACACTCCACTCAGTGCCTGCGGCACGTTGGCGGCTAGACCCTACGGATTCCCGGCGTCGGCAGAAGGAGTTGAAGCCTTTGGGGCTGCAGGAACATTGGCACGACCACGCTGAATGTCATGTGCAGATATTTCATGACTCAAACTATCATGCCCGCTTGCTTCCAGGAATTCCAGATCGATGACCCCACCGCGATCGAGAAGCTCCTGGCCGGCAGAGTCAGAAGGGGTGTGGTATGAGCGAAGGTTGAACGGGAATGTGCATATGCGGTTCCATGCGTAGTCCACGCTCGTTGGCGACAAGCCCCGTGCACCCACGTCGTATATGTTTTAAACATGTGGTTCCAGTCTCCGATAATCATGTTCAGTAAGCCCGTGACGTTGCAGGACGTAGGCTTAATTCTCTAGTTTCGTTGTCCCCCTGTCAGAGCCTTTAGCTCGAACCAGATGACTGGTGGGATGTTGTCGTGGTTTTGTGTCGGCTACAGTGGGCGCATCGACAAAGAAGCCAGCCGTCCCGCAAGCACCCAAGCACCCCAGGGAGACAGTATCCCCCGAAAGCCCCAGATACCCGCAGAAGCACCTTAGGACCTTAAGAGATTGACGAAGAATGTGTCCCGAGATTCCCCAAACAGTGGTTGTAATTAGGGTTTCTTGGAAGTCTTCTAAGGAAAAGGGCCTGCGTGGCGGTCTGGCGGCTCCGTGGTCGCCGTCGCCGCCTCGTCACCACCCGTCGTCTGGGCCTGCGTGGCGGTCTGGCGGTTCCGTGGTCGCCGTCGCCGCCCCGTCGCCGCCTCGTCGCCGCCCGTCGTGTGGGCCTGCATGGCGGTTTGGCGGCTCCGTGGTCGCCGCCGCCGCCGCCTTGTCGCAGCCCGTAGATTCTCCTTTTTTTAAAAAGAATAGAGCCTACCCCCCCCCCCTGGATTATCAACTCCCCCCTTCGTACTGCAATTTCCCCAATCAGAGCTTGCCCCTGTAGGGGTCCGAGCGGATTCATATGGTTTGGTGAGGTTTGGCGCGGATTTCGGCGGCACGCCCGGGTGCCCGGTAGCCCTATTGCCCTATAGCCTTACAGCCCTATAGCCCTACAGCCCTATAGCCCTATAGCCCTATAGCTCTATAGCCCTATAGCCCAATAGCCTTATAGCCCGAATAGCCCTATAGCCTTCTGGCCTTATAGCCCTATGGCCTTATAGCCCTACAGCCCAATGGCCCTATAGCCTCAGAGCCTTATAGCCCTATAACCCTATAGCCCCCTACAGCCTTAAAAAGATTATGAGTTGGGTTTTCTCCAGTATCGTTACATATGACTCTGCCCCATCGTCCATCCTAAATTTGGGTCCATACCATGCCAGGCAGGCCGGTCTCGGCCCCCCCTGTCATCCTTTGCGAACACTACGCGCGCTTTCGTTCATCAAAAATCAATAGTTTTCAACCATCCCTTCCAAAAGACGGGACGAAGTGTACACGCGCGCGTCGTCGCGATCGCATGCCGAAATGGTTCAACAACCTTAGGTTTCGTAAGGATGTTAAAATCGAGTGTCCAAGAACCAGATAACAACATTTAGTTTCGCAACACGGATTTCAAACAAACAAACAAAAAACGTGCGCGCGTTCTTGCGAACTCTTAAGAAAACCATTGGTTTTCTACATATTCATAAAATGCTACCAAACAGGCTTCGCGAGCGCGCATGTCGAAATCGTTTGATAACCCTTGCGCGCGTCGTCGCGCGCGCATGCCAAAATCCGTCAACAAACTTCAGTTTCGTAGCGAGGCGCCCCCCAAAAAAACAAAACGTCAAAACGTGCGCTCGAGCACTTGCGCATTCTTGGAAAAGATATGGTTTGTTTTCAATTCAACCTGTTCATGGAATTCTGCCAACGGGCCTCTGGCGCCGAATGCCGACATCATTCGCACGCCCTTGCGCGCGCATTGTGAGGGCACGATCCATATCAAGTAAAACCATTCGGGCCACTCTCGCGCGTCGGCCGCGCGCGCATGTCGAACTCTTTCCAAAACCTTCATCACCGACGCGAGGACGCCGTCATCGCCGCCGGCGTGATCAGCATCGGCGCCCGCACTGGCCGCGCCTTCGTCGGTGTCAACGTCGCCACCAGCATCGCTTCTATCATCATCGTGTCTACCGTCGTCGACGTTGCCATGGTACCGTGCCCGCCGAAGTCGCCCACTCGCATTGAAGTGGCCGCTGGGATGTGCCCAGCGGGCAGCGCCACCGCGGCCGCGTCGGTGGCGCCAAACTAACTGGCTGCTGCGCGCGCGTGCTAGGGTTGGCGCGGCCGCAGAGATGCACCAACCAACGCCAAGCACGCATGGAAATGCCACCGCATGGGTTTTGTAAACCGAGTTGCGGGTGGTGGGTGGGACGTTTGCAAGAACATGTGATGTGTCAACCCGCTTGTTAAAACCAATTGCACCACATAGATTGCACCACATGGAATGCGCAACATAGATTAAACAACATGCAGCGCACGACGTATATTACCCCACACAGTTTGCACCACGCAGATTGCACAACATATACAGTGCGCACCACAGAAATTAAACCACTGCGATTGCACCACATTCTCTTGTATTAAAAGAGAATAGATTCGACTCACCCTGATTATCCGTGCCCCTGTTTCGTATTGTTATTTGCGTATGATTCTGCCTCATCGCCCATCCGGAATATCAACTCACACCACCCAAGCCCAACCAGTATCGACCCCCCCCCCCCCCGTCATCCTCTGCCAAAGCATGTTTTGCGCGCACACTCGTTCATCAAAAGTTATCAGTTTCCACACGCGCGCGCCATCGCGCGCGCATGCCGAAATTATTCAAAAACCTTAAGTGTCGTAAGGATTTCAGAATCGAGTGTCAAAAAACATACAACAAACATTTGGTTCCGCAACACGGATGTTCAAGAACAACTTGCGCGCGTTCCTGCGAATTCTTAAGAAAACCACTGGTTGCTCTACATGTTCAAACCCAAAAAATACCAAACGGGCCTCGCGCGCGCGCGTGTCGACATCGTTTGAACATTTTTGCGCGCGCGTTGTCGCGAGAGCCCTTTGCAAAAAGTGGGACGAAGTTCGCGCGTGCGCGTCGTCGCGCGCATGCCGAAATCCGTCAAAAACCATAGGGTTCGCGAGGATTTCGAAACCGAGCGTCGCGAAACCAAAACAAACAAACAAAAAACGTCTTCGCAATTTCTGTTTAAGAAAAGTATATTTGTATATTTTTAATTCTCTAAGCAAAAAAAACTTGCGCTCGTGCTCTTGCGAATCCTGAAAGAAACCATCGGTTTTATAGTATTGTCGCTGAAGTCTATCAAACGGGCTTCTCCACGCCGCATGCCGAAATGATTCGAACACCCTTGCGTGCGTGCTGGGGGGCCACGATCGGTGCCAACTCAAACCATGCGGGCCACTCGCGCGTCGGCCGCGCGCGCATGTCGAACTCCATCCAAAACCTTCATCACCGTCACCGACGCGAGGACGGCGTCATCGTCGCCGGCGTGACAAGCATCGGCGCCGTCGTTGGCCGTGCCGTCGTCCTTGTCAACATCGTCACCCGCATGGATACGATCATCATCGTGTCTACCGTCGTCGACGTTGCCACGATACCGCGGCCGCCCAGGTCGCCGACTCGCACTGAAGTGCCAGCTGGGACGTGCCTAGCGGGCAGCGCCACCGCGGCCGCGTCGGTCGCGCCAGACTATCTGATCGCCGCGCGCAGGTGCATGCGCAGGCTGGCGCGGCCGAAGAGATGGACCAGCTAGGACCAAGCATTCATCGCAATCGCCACCGCATGGGTTTGCAAGACAAGTTGCGGGCGGGTGGATGGGATGGTTGCGCGAGCATTGGAGCTGACAGCTGCGAGCTGCACAAATGAATTTTCTTTCTGATGAAAGGGAATCAGCTCCTCCCCCCCCCCGGGATTATCGACCCCCCTCTTCGCATTGCAACTTAAATACGGCTCTGCCCCATCGTCCATCCGAAATGAATTCGCACCATCCCAGAATCGACCCCCCCCCCCCCCCCGCATCCGATTGCAAAAAATACGCGCGAGCATTAGTTTATACAAAAACCATTAGATGTCAAAAATATGTTGCCAAAAAACGGCACAAAGTGCACGCGCGCGCGTCGTCGCGCGCGCATGCCGAAATCTTTCGAAAACCGGTGGTTTCGCTAGGATGTCAAAATCGAATGTCAAAACAACATATACAGAACACATGGTTTCGCAACACGGATGTTCAAAAAAATTGCGCGCGCCCTTGCGAATTATTAAGAAAGCCGCTGGTTGTTCAACATGTTCAAAACATGCTACCAAACAGGCAACGCGCGCGCGTGTCGTATTTGTTCGAACTCCTTTGCGTGCGCGCCGTCGCGAGAGTACTTTGCAAAAAATGGGACGACGTGCACGCGCGCGCGTCCTCGCGCGCGCAGGCCGCCAACGAAACGCTCGGTTTCGTAACGATTTCAAAACCGAGAATCTAAAAAACATTCACAAACACATCGTTTCGCAACATCAGTTTTCGAAAAAGCGTGTGCTCGTGGTCTTGCGCAGTATTGAGAAAACAATAGAAATATGTTCATGGAATTCTGCCAAGCGGGCCTCTGGCGCCGCATGCCGAAATCATTCGGACGCCCTTGCGCGCGTGCTGGGGGGGCACGATCCGTGTCAAATAAAACCATGCCCGGCACTCTCGCGCGTCAGCCGCGCGCGCACTTCGAGCTCTTTCCAAAACTTTCATCACCGACGCGAGGACGCCGTCATCGTCGACGGCGTGATCAGCATCTGCGCCCGCACTGGCCACGCCGTTGTCGTTGTCAACATCCTTACCAGCATCGCTACTATCATCATCCTGTCTACCGTTGTCGACGTTGCCATGATACCGCGCCCGCCCAAATCGCTGAGTCGCACTGAAATGCCAGCTGGGGTGTGCCCAGCGGTCTGCGCCACCGCGGCCGCGTCGGTCGCGCCAAACTAGTTGGCCGCTGCGCGCGCGCTTGGGTTGGTGCGGCCGCAGAGATGGACCAGCTAACGCCAAGCATTCATCGCAATCGCCACCGCATGGGTTTTGCAAACCAAGTTGCGGGTGGGTGGGTGTCATGTTTGTAAAAGCATGGGATGTGTCAGTTCGTTTATAAGAAATCAATGGCACCACATGTATTGCACCACGTAGGGTGCACAACATATAGAGCGCGCA